GGGGCTTCCCCTCCCCCACTCAACTCGTTACTGAGCAGGGGAGAGCCCGCACTGCTCGCTGACCGGAACCAAAGAGAGCGAGTTCCCCTGGGAATTCTGCTTTTAACCCCTCTGTGTTCTCAGAGGCGTGTCCACCTTCAATTGGTCAATATCCAAATTGACCTCTTCCTTCCGGAAAAAATTCTCTTTCCGTGTCAAACCACGACACTTACCCATCCAAAACTGCCCCACCTCTCCTTCCTACTGGAGTCAGAAAGTACATGTCTCTGGAGAGAAGCTGAACTCTACCAGTGTACAGTGCAATAGTTCTCATGCAGACATATTCAGGCTCAGAATTAATTTTCAGGTCCAGGCCTTGGAAGTGCAGAATTTCAGATTCAAACTCATAGAGTAATGGGTTTCCCAACATGAATTTGTCAATGGTTTCCTCCTTGTCTCTCTGCCATATATGGTGGTAACAACTAAACCTCTCCAAAGCTGTAACAACTTCCTGAAAGACATTTACAAGTTCAAAGGAAGATTCTCAGCATCATGTATATAGCATGCATATAATTTCTTAGCAGCTGCTCATTAGAGTACACTACAAACTCCATCATGGATCAGGTTGAATCACCTCACGAAATAAAAGGTTGCTGGTAAATTTATGCTAAAGCGTAAGTTCCATTACTGATCACATTATGCCAGAAACCCTATGTTCATCACATCTAATTTGTCGGACTAGTTAAAACATTTGCCAATTAAGTGAATCTTCAGTCAATAAAATCATTGGAATTACTGGGAAGTAAAGTTTAAAACTAGGATACAGTACACTTGTCCTTCCCTGCCATTTCTTCGGCTATAAACTGAAACCTGAGCTCCAGGGCCCACCACAAAAAGAAAAATTCATTCTGAAATAATGAAGCTATGAGACAATTTTTTTAACATTAATTTCTACACTCACAGGTCTCTTTGATTGGAATATAATTTAATGAGTGTGAAAGAGAATTATTCTTTTGGTTCTCAGGAGCTCAGAAAAGTGTGAGAAAGTTAAAGTTAATTCATCACTGCATCTAATTAAACAAGTAAATGAGAGATGAGTGCAATGAGAAATAATCCACATCATGACTTACAATAAATATAGTACATGCAAGCATTTAACTCTGGCCAAATTATAAAAGTTTACAATATGACAAAATACCATATATGAAAATACCATGATAACTATCCACCATTATCAACTATTCAGCAACAGCCTGGTAGTTATGCTTTAGTACCACTGAATTTACTATGCCTTGAGTCAAAGATTTTCACATAGCAAGACATAAAAGATTGGACCAGCCCCAGAAGAAACTGATGCAGAGCTCCCTAAAGAAATACAGTTTACGAAGAGTGCATAGAATAAGAACAAGGCAAAGAAGTTATGCATATCTTTTAAGATACATCCTAACCTACACAAGCAAATCCTATGCAGCATTTTACAAATGCCAATCTGATAGCAAATTTTCCTCTAAAAACCTTCATAACCTCTTTGTAATGTGGCAGAAATCATGCTGGCTTCATTAGCTACACACAACACAGCTACACTAAAGAGTTTTTTATGATGTTTTAATTTATGCAATATTCAAAACCCCAAGTCTTGGAGCAGAGTACATTTAATGCATGTTATACTTTTAAAGCATATTTGCAAATTTTCAGCCAAATGTTTTCCTTCCACCATCCAAATTTTTTTCATTATTACATTTAATCACAGCTTTAAATGCCTACCCTTATTACCCGAGGATATTAAAAGCAATACATTAATATCCCTCAGATAGTGATATCAAGTTACCATCTCAATTGTCTTCCCCCTTTTGTAGAATTAATGGCACTGCTGAGTAAAGATACTAATTCAATAATTTCTTTGTTCCCTGAAACATTCCTGAAGTAGCTCTGGCTTTGCACTGCATCAGATGAACTGAGTGATGCTGCATCTGATACACTGTCTATAAAATAAGATTCAAATACAGAAGCAGGCTTAGGACAGACATACTGGTTAGGAGAAGTAAATTCCTATAGACAAAACAGAATGACATTTTATCAATAAGCATGCACTTTAAAGTTAGGTGTTCCTAAAGGCAACTAGAAGTTAAGAAGGCAAACAAATTCATAGAAATCTCCATTTTAGTAAAATTGTTCCATCCAGGTACCCTGTCAAATTTGGAACAAGTTCCACACCAATCTTTCAAACAGATTATTTCTTCTTCTCTTCTCCCTCAAGGTTTATTCTTTATGCTTCACCTAAGTGATTTATTTATATTATCAGCATTTGCTTACTTATATATTAGCACTAAGCATTTTTATTTTCTGAAATAGCCCACAATTTACAATTTGAAATACAAATTAACATTAACTCTGAGAATTTGGCCATAACCAGTCCCCAAAAAAGACATCATCAATTTTTTTTCCATCTCTTGCAAGCAAAATTCTTAGTTTTGAAAGATTAATTTAACTTCTTAACCAGTTCAAGTATTACTGTCTTACTTTTTAGGTGCATAAGAGAGAGCTAAGCTAAAAAGTCTCAAATGTAATTTTTTTAGTATCTCATGTACAATGTAAAACAATTAACTTTGTTTTATTTTAAACTATTTCAGAAAATAAAAACTCAATCAAAGATACCATCTTAAATTTTCTTGAACTAATGACTTCTTCTAATAACAACTTAATGTCTTGTCACAAAACAGAATAATGAAAATCCTTTTAGAAATTCTAGTCTATTCCATCATTTACACAATCTTCTCTACAGCAATATTACAATTTACATAGATGTTTTTTATTCACTACCAGGTACTGTGAAAGTTCAACTTACCCTTCTGAAAGGATAAGCACAAGTTCTAACATGCCATTTGAACATGCCAAATTACAAACCACACTGGATAATCATGAAAGATTATTCTGTAGCAAAATAACTATAATTGTAAACAATATATATATTATAACCCAAAGTATTAAAACTCTTCAAGAAGCCCAAAAAAATCCCCTTACTCAAATCCACAGAACAACAAATGGAAAACCTGGTTTCTAACCAGAGACTTCTTCTCTGAAGCAATTTAAAATCTATGAGGTTGTTTAAAATATATCAAGTCTACTATTTTTGATGTATTTTGTAATTAATATCTTCCAATACTTTCTGTATAAATCACATTTACCTAACACTCAAATTTACTGATGTCAGAGTTTATCATTACCATGGAAGTTTTTCTTTCCAGTCTATTTCATTCCATCATCAGAATTATTGTCTCTGCTCCAAGTGTGCAACAGAAAAACTTTTCTCTCTAACACTTTCTCCTGAAGAGAGAGTAACGTTTATTTTTCATTTGCAGTTTTGAACCATTAGTTCTAAGTAAGGCTGTTAAAGACACTAACCTTGGATATTCTCTCCTTACTCCAATGTTGAACTCCTTTCATTACTTTCACAATACTATCTACAGCTTTATTAAGCATCTGCTGTACCTCATCCAAAGAGGGTGTCATGATGATATTAGGTATAGATAGGTTAATATTAGTCCTAATTATAGGATAGGCACCTTTTTTCTGCTTAGATATACTGTGATTTTCTAAATAAAAGACAAAAACAGAAGACAAACACAAAACAAAAAGGCTGTTCATATTTTTTTCAAGACATCAAACTAGGAATTGTTTTGATATAAACCAACAAACATATCTCCTATTGTAGAGTATTGAGTGTAATTTCTGAAGGGAAAAAGAATTCCTGAAGTACAGCTAACCCCTACAGCAGCACAAAAGAAAAGTAAGTGCAAAGCTATTTTTTCCATGAAGCTTCTCTTCAACTTTCTCTGTGCAGCTAAACTCTGTTTAGCACAAATTTTGTTATCTGGCTGGTACTCCCAGTCAGCATATTAAATTGGGCACAGAACCTCCTTAGAGTCTTATAGTATTGTGTGGCTTCCAGGAGTCACTTGCAGCTGTCCCCCGTCCCTCCCCGGCCCCTCGGGACCCCTCTGGCTAGCTGTTCCCTCCGGGGACTGGGGTTTGCCGCGGTCCCGCTGCACTGGACTTACCAGGCAGCAGCTGGGTTAGCACGGTCCGAGCAGCGGCAGTGCCTCGGTCGCCGCAAGGGATCCAGATAAAGAGACAAAGAGAGGTTAATGGTATGCAGTGCAGAGAGATTGTATTGCCTGAACGGTTGCAGGGACCAAAGGCCCCGGGTTATTGCCCAGATACAGTTTTATACAGCAAAATTAAGAGATAAGGTCTAAACAATAGACATTGTCTAGCTTGGGTACATCAGAACCACCCCAGGGGCCGGGTCCAATGGGAACTGCTCAGGGGTGGGGAGAAGGGGGTTTACAGAGAAATGCTGAAGCAAAACTTTCCCGAAACAATGGGGCATACAGAAATGTATCTTTTCCTCAGTTTCCCATTCCCAAGGCCTTTCTAAAACCCTTCCTCCACACTACCATGCCAGCATGATAGCAACAGTATTGTATGCCTTATAAACTACAGAGACCAAAGACAACTGACCTTATTTTTGTTTCTTAAAGGCATGCAACAATAAAACACTTTAAAACAATGTTCCATCACCATGTATGGAAATGTCTGAAGGCAATTAGTAAGAGAAAAAAGTCACCTCTATTTTTTTTAATACAGTTTTTGTAAAAGGCAAGGGCAAAGAGATCTTGCCAAGTTATCAAGGTCTTAACTTGATAACTAAACAAGTTAGTTTCTAACATAACTTGTTAAAACTTTTAACAAGTTATCAAGGTCTTGTAGAAACTTATCTATCAAGTCTTGATCCAACTATAATATTGGCTTCAGAACAGTACAGCGAGTCTTTAGAGAAAGAGCATTGTACTGTCACAAGAAAACAAAACCTTTGGAAATAGACAATGCTATTGATTGCAACTTAACAAGACAGCTTAATCAAAATCCCTTTGTTTTCCCCTCTTTTACATGTGTGAGTCTTATTTATACAGTTATGAGATATTGCATTGACATTTTTCTTTATATAGCCTAAAGACCAATGTACTACAATGTAGCCACCTAAGAAGTTGATGGTGGAAGATGCATGAATGCGCTTGCAGATAGTCTCCAGAGTGTGTCAAGTGACTTTCAAAAGGGCATCAATGTTACGATCATTGAAGTAAGAAAGCAGTTCATTGGCTTCTTCCTCTAATTTTTCTAAATCCATTCTCTTCCTCTTTGTTGTAAGAGATAGGCCAGCCCACGTTTGACTGGAATTTTGTGAGGAAGTCAAGATTTTTGATCTTCTTTCCTCTTCTTTTGCTAAAACATCATAAATCCAGTTAGTTAAATATACATAAGGAACTTGAAAATACCATCATGCAACAGTTCCACAGGTGTCTGAAATAATTTTAAGGAAGGGCAGAATTACTCAGTTGTAATCTGCACCCCAGTGTAACAGGCTTATTCCTATCTGCCTTCTTATTCAGTACAAACTGGCATGATTATCATCAAAATTTAAATATTATTTCTTATTTTCTTTCTCTGGGAAGTCCAGCAATTAACCAAGACTACTAAGTACTTCTATGGCATGAACCTTTCAACATCCAAGTTAGATAAATAATACTGACCTATTTTGTAGATAATAAATGATTTTTACATTATTCATTATCCAGGCAAATTCAAAGTCTTTAGATGCTAATCAGTACTTCAGTCACCTAAGCTACAATGTCCCCAAACACAAATTATCAGCACGAAAAAGAAAGAAACACCAAGGAATGCAATACAATCTTCTTACCTGTATTCTTGTCCCTTTTTTCACCACTGGGTACAATTGACTTCTCATCTTCTTTACTGAATTGTTCCTTGGTGTCAAGTAACATGTTTATCAGATCATTAACAGTGGCTTCCACCAGTGAGCTTTTAAAGTGTAAAGTCCCATATCCTTTTATGCAGAGCTCCTGTTATCAAACCAAAACAATATGCTCTTATTGTCACAATTCTCATGTCAATTTCAAAGTCATAGCAGCCTTTATTAGCACAAATGTCAAAGCCTAAGATTTGTGAAAAATCAGATCTATATACAACATTAATTTTAAATTGGTTTGTTCCAAAATACAAGATGAACAATAGATCAACCAGACATCATAAATTACTTCCAGCATTGTTTTGGCTTCTTTCTCAAATCACATGATTCATTAACTAATACCATGAATCAATGTTTATAATGCCTAGTTTCACTAAAAGAGTCCCAAAAGCAAGGGCTTCTTCATTTTCTTAACTTTCCAATGTAAAGATGGGAGAGTCAACACTTCTTTTAATCATTGCTGGTTTACATTAATTGACTGTGCCATAATGAGTATTAGCCAACCATATATCCCATTTACAGTTAAAAAGAAGATAAAAGCTATACAAGATATATTTATTATTAAAATAAACACTAAAATTATAAACTGAAGAGAGAAGAAATCAAAGAATGAGATTAAATAAAATTCAGAAACTTATTACAGTACTGTGCATCTTTTTTCTCCAATACTTATAATAAAATCAATCAAGTATGCCTCAGCTAACTATAATTTTTATCTGCAATTGCCTTTTATTTTTTCATTTCTTTGGTATTTTATATTTCACTCAGCTTAAACAAACATGACTACCTTTGTTTAATTAAAAATCAATAATTAGAAATATTCAGCCATTTTCAAATTTTAAGGTAATCTTTGGCCTTCCTAATGGTTTTGTTGAGTTGAGAGAAAAGGCAGATGTGACTTGCAATATCACAGCAACACTAAACAAAGTACTCTGGGATTTTCCCACTGGGTATTTATTTTTGTTGCAGCAATTTTTTAGAAATTTAAAGACACTTGTTAGGTGACAGAAGTTATTTCTAGTCTCCTCTAAATAAAAATTACAATAAGCTTACAAACTGTTACTATTTTTATTGTACCTATAACTGGGGTTCTTTTACCTCTTACTTTGCTATCTCAACTCAAATGGCCATTGTAATTATTATGTAGCAGTTTAACTTTTCAAGTTACCTTACTGTGCAGAGCTGTTTTTGTGCTCACTCACATATTTTTGCCTTCGTGAATATACATTTTAGTACCTGCCCTATCAGGAAGGTAGCAGCAGAATCAAGAAAAACAACTATGGATTGTGAGGCTTACAAACTGCTACTCATTCCATATATTATTTTATATTTTACTCTGTATTTAACAACACAGTGAGTTGTTACAATGGCCAAAATAGAAAAAGTCAAAGAGTTAAAAACACTAAGATAAGCAAAAATTTAATTTGTAATAGTTATTCCTACAAGAGAAAAGGAATGGGGATTATCTATTTGATTTTCTACAGTCTTTATCAGACCAAATTTTATTTCAGGAGAAAACGCGTTAGACATTACAACCTTACTATTGCCTCACAAAATTATCCTGACATAATTATGACCTTAATCAGCTTTCTAACCAGCGGATCTAATCAGTTTTCATGTTTATAGTTAATTACCCTCAACATAAAGGCTTTTGATGTGGTGAAGGAAGGGTGTTTTCTCAGAACACCTTTACCCAAGTACTCCTGCATATATTTTTCACATCCCATTACCAACTCAGGAGAGTTTGAGATACTCATTACACAATACTTTCCATAGTATTTACTCTCCTCAGGCAATTGCTGGAGAATTCCCTTATTTAAACAGGAATAATGAAAAAACTATACTATCATAGAGGCAAAATTTTTGATTACATGAAAGCACAAAAGAAATATCATACACGATCTGGCTTGATATTCATAATGAATAGAAAATAACATCTCAGTTCAGCTCTCTTTGCATTTGGCATTTCTGTTCCTTTTTACAATCCTAACCAAGCAAGTGGGGATTTCCATCGTATCCCATGCATGCTTCATTAATTCTGCATTCAGAATTTTTTATCTCATAGAAAAGAAAAATATCTAAACTCAAAGTAATCTATCTCTTCTTCATGAAACTTTTATCTATTAGCCTTAGTCTTTTGAAGAAATTCCTCACAGCTCTGTGGTTCATCTTCTGGAAACATACAGAGTGTCACTCTACTAATTTCTTGAAGGACAGCATCAATATGAAATTCAACCAAGCCATTCACTTGATCAAGCAATAACTCCAGCCCAGCTTTTGAAGAAAACAGAAGATTCAAGACAAGCTTAAAAGTTTGAATTAATAGCCTGTGCAAAGCTCCCCAGTGTTGTTTTACCTCAACAAATTATCATTATCAACTGTATATGAATTCTGCACCTTAACCAATTTACTTCAAACATCTAAACTTCTATGGCAAGCTTCACCACAAGAATCATAAAATTATCTTTTTGCATAACAAATACTTACCTAGCATATGCTATCTACATGCTAAAAGATAAGTATAATATTATAGAATATAAACTATTCTACAAATGAATATTGTGTAGCTTTTTATAAAAAAATAGCATCTATTATAAATATATATAAGATTAACTTAAAGGCTATGTATTTCAAACGTGAAGACATTAACATTTGATTGATGGCCAACAACATTTCCTCTTCTCCTATAGCTTGAACTAGTTACAACTTGGAGAATCTACTAGCAACAGTAAATTTCAGCAAATAAAAACTCAATGCTTCAAACAAATGTTAGAGACCAAACAATAGTTAACAAAAAACAATCACTAGAACTTTAAAAGTTTAATAGCAATCTGTTCTCAATGCTGAAGCTGAAATAGCAGCAAATTACTTTTATTATTCAAAATTAAATTAAGTATAATGTCAGGCTAGCATCCAAAATGCACTTTAATCTGCCATTTCAACTGAAGAAAATATCCACTATAACTACCTATGCAATTTCAGGAAACAAAATCTGTTTGCTGTATTAATTAAGCTGAAGAAAAAGGAATTTGGTATCTTCAGAAAAAAAAAAAAATCTCAGTGCAAACTTGTGATAATCTTTTGAAAACACTACAAGCTCATCTGTTTTCTAAAGCTGTTGTCCAAGATATATGTGCATTAGTTTTAAAGACATTGATGTTTAAAAAAAATATTAATATGAAATGCTATTGAGCAATGACAGTGCCAGCTGAGTCAGTGGTTTGTCGAAGTTGTTTTGTACATTATAGAAACAAAAAAGCAGGACTAGGAAAAGTCTGGAACCTAGGCACTCTTTTAAAAAGTAGCTATCATTCTTTAAATTCAGAATACACTGGCCATTTTGCACTATATTTTGTTTGGTGTAATTCCAAGTGCCTAACATATACAGTAGTAAAACTTTGATGAACATAAAAGACAAAAAGAAGGTGGTGTTATAAAACAAATGTTTCATAGAATACAGGACAGGTGAAAATTCTGATATCTTTTATATGTAAATCAATTAAATGCAAATCATGTAAAGAACTTTAATCTTATATTATAATTTGCATATGTATAGAACAAATAACCATAAATTAATGGAAGGAGGCAAGTAACCTACCTAGCTTAGAAAAAAACTGTATTAATGTATTCCTCAATATTCAGGGATGTCCAGGTCCAATTAGACCTAGCTGGATAGCATTATCTACATCTACTGATTGAGGAGCTATGAGTTGTTCAAAAGGGTGTTGTTTCTTCAGTTTAATTCTTTTGTATTCTGCCAACATCACCTGAAATAATGAAAATAATATTAGTTAATAAACACTCATTGAACCTCTTCATGCGCACACACTTATTACCTAAACTAAGAAAATTCATCTGTATGCATATTATTGAAATTTTTAAGAAGTTATAATTAATTGCTTGGGAAAGGTTTTCATTATTTTTGGCAGAAGTTCACTATTTGTTGCTCTTTATATCTCTATATATATTTGTTGCTCTATGTGAAGCACTGCTTCACGCAGAAATCAATCTTTGATTGCACTGGTGCTGTGATGGAGTTAATTTCTTTTTCAATGTCTCCCATGATGCCATGTTTTAGATTTGTGACCGCAACTGTGTTACTAACACACTGATATTTTGGGTATTGCTAAACAGTGCTCGTACAGCATTGAGTCCTTTTCTGCTTCTCACACCACTCTTCTGGTGACTGGGGACACACAAGATACTGGGAAGGAATGTAGCCAGGACCCCAACTGATTATTGGGATCCCATACCTACGACATCATGCTTAAAAATGAAAGTTGGGAGAAGAAGGAGGGAGGGGGACACTCAGAGTTATGGTGTTTGTCTTCCCAAGTAGCTGTGATACTGCCTAGTTTTACCAGATTAATTCCTTCTTTTTTTCCCTTGTGCGTGCACCTCTTGCCTTCCCTATTAAAATGCCTTTATCTCAACTCACATGTTTTATATTTTAACCGTCAGATTATCTCCCCCATTTCAAGGAGGGAAGTAAGGGAGCAACAGTGGGACATTTGGTTGCCTGCTGGATTTAAACCACATAATAGAAAAATCTTGCAAATTTTAGTTGGTAAATGAGTGTTACAGAAGACAAAAACTCAAGGAGAAAAATACATCTAGGTGAATTTTCCAGCAATTCTAATAAGATCAGCCTTACCAGAACTATATTATACTATTTTCTTTCTAATGTCCCTTTAACTTGCTGACCTAGTTTCACATGTTCAGCAATAACATTATGACTTCAAGTCATACTCTATGATTTATGGGGTTTTTTTCATTTCAAAGTAGTCCTTTAAAGCTATAGGTTTCTGGACATCTATTTTTGAATTCCCATCTTGAGTCATTGGGAATCTTGTCTGTTCACAGGCAGATAAAATGATCTAAAAGACTTAAAAGACAAGAAAAAGGGAAGTTTCAACTTCTTTTTTTAAACTGTTCCAACAGACACGCATGTAAAACACCAGTGCCAGAAAAAAAAAAAAGCTGCTACTTGCTGCATGCTTTATACATTTTAAAAGCAGACCACCTGTTCCTCCCTTCCAGGTATCCTGTCAAAACAAATGCTGCCCAATGTTGACTTCATTATTGGATGAGAGATTAATTGCTTATCATTTAAAAAGCAAGCAACAACACAGGACATTTTGTGTAATCCTTTCCTCCCCATTCTCATCTCTGTTCCAGACCCTGCAGAGCTTCCCCAAACACATGCATCTACAAAGTAACTTCCCAGAAAATATAAAGCCAAGAAAATGTTTCAATCTCATACAAATAAGAAAACAGATTTGCACGTTTTCTTGGTACGTAATTGTTGATTTTCATTTATTCTCTTCCATATGTACAGTACCCAGGCATCTTAATGTACAGTACATATACATAAAATAATTAATGTAAACCCACGTGCAAATTGTTGACAATCTTCTTGTACCAGTCTGTCTGCTGTTGAATAACACTTGCAAATGGTGGAATTTCAAGGCATGTATAAGCCATGCAATCTGTTTCTCTGATTAAAGTTAATATTTGAGGATCAAAATTCACAAATAATTCTCCCATTTCAGGAGCTTTTACCAAGAGATTTGCTTGAAGTCCTCTTTTAGTTAACTCAATCTACAGGAAATAAAGTCATCATTCCAATCAGACAAGCTACTACAATAAAATATTTTGGTTTGCATATAAATATCACTTTTGCAGATAGTTAAATTAGGCACTGCTGACAAAGACTGATACATTATATGAATCCAAAACCAAAATTTATTGACACAATGTGTATGAACCCAAACGCTTAATAAATCAAACTGCTATTTATCTAACAGATATTCTTCTGTTGAGTCTTGGATGTTATAAGCTGCATTTCACATTCCAAAACCAAATCAGAGGCATAGATTTTCTTGTTTCGACCAAGAAAATCTTAACACTCATGTCCTTAGAACTTAATGCATATATAAGGCTGCAGGATTATTCTTGGATAACCTCTTCACATATCTTTTGAATATACTTATCCCCATTTCTCCTTTCACTTGTTTTCCAGTAACTAATAAATATACCAATCTTAATTATACTGACAATTATATCCAACATTTGGGCAAATATGTTAAAATACTAAAGTTAATGTTTACTATAGATATTTTTTTAATCGTAAAAGCAAAGCGTAATCGCACAATTGGTTTACCTGCCTTATTTAAATATTAGAGGACCATTTGTTCTCTATGTGATTAGAAAGAACAGCATTCCTTAGAGCACCACACACTGAAAATTTGGCTGACACCAAAAAGCAATCCTGCCTTAGGCAGGCAAAGTTTTCCTACATTAAAAACTTTGCTGCTATTGTCATTTTCCAGTTGTCTTAGTTGGTGTAACTTTATTGTTCTTTATTTGCTCCTCAAATGTCATATATCACATTACATTGAGATGGAGCTTATTTCTAGGCCATAGTTTCAAAACTCATTGATATCTTTCAGTGCACTTTTTACTTTTTCTATGGAACACAGAAAATTTGCACCACCTTTCAATGTCTAAAATATAGTGGAGGATACTGCTTGCTTCAGCAATATCATGTACTTTCAAGACATTTTTCACAGCATTTTTCAAGAAATAATCTAATCAATTTTTTTCAATGAAGATGTCATGCTCTATCCACTATCATCAGTCTTCAAAAAAAAGAAACAACTGGTTTTTTTCTGTAAAGTTCAACAGCAAATCTTACTTTACTTATTTTTGAGCTTCATACTCATTATTCCCACTCTCAAGTCTTCCTCCCCTGCCTATGTTTTCTTCTCATGCAGTTTTCATTGTTAAGGTAACAGAAAATGTCAATGGAAATAAGGGGTGCATTGAAGGCACAAAAAACAAACAAACAAACAAACAAACAAACAAACAAACCAGCTCTTTTTGCTTTTAAAAAAAAACTGGAATAAAAATATGTAATAATCTGGAGAATAACCACCCGGTAACAAGTACAAAAAATAGGGGCAAAAATGTTCAGAACTCTCAGAAAGTGACACTAAGCTTAACATTTACATTTTACAGAAGAATAAAAAGCAATAGGAGTTGAGCCCTATTTGTGTTCCATTTGTATTCCCCACAGGACACTTGCCATTCTCACGTTTTTTCTTTTGTTCAGGAGTAGAGCAGGAGCTCCACCTTGTGTTCTATGACACTTATGTCCCGTGTGCACTCTTCTGGCCTGAAAGAAGAGACTACAGAGCAGTAGTCACATATTTTTTTTGCCGTACCTGGTAGACTAACGCGTGTATGTTAATATACTTTTCGTGTCTTTTCAATTCATGTGTCTATGTTTCAAACTTGAAATTCTGTTCAAATCCACCTCCCTTTGTTCCCACCTAATAAGCATGAAGTTGGAACAGGCTCAGGAAGTTTATATAGCTGCCAAGTGTGATTTGACTGCTATAGGAGAGAACAGACAGGTAACAGATCAGTACAGATTACTAATCAGAATCAGAACTCACATTATTTGGACCTCATAAAGGAATGCATCACTTCAGGGGAGATGCCTGGGATATTATAGTTATTTCAGAAAAGATGAAAGGTAAATGTACTTGACTGCTCCATCAAGGCACAGTACATGTCAGAAAATCTGATCACTATATCACCTCGCCAAAGATGCAGCCCCACAAGAATCATACATTCTCCTTAGTCTTTACAGATGAGATGAGGCAGTGAAAACTATCATCAGTTTACTTTGAATGATGCAGGTATCCAGCTCAGTACCATAATCAAAAAAGAAACTGAGTTCAAGAGAGAAACACTAAACAAATGCAGAAGGCTTCCTGAAGTATTACAATTCATTACATAAAATATGAGGGATATGCACCAGCTCTCTGTGAAGAGCACACGAAAACATATGAACTTCCTATGTTAGCAGACTAAGCATTAAAATTAAATACCTTTCTAAGTGCAATAGCAGTCTTCATTACTGCCAGGAAGAAGAACCAACTATGTGCAGGTTAAGGGTGAGGATTTTGGATATGATGTACCTGAACCATAATGTATAATGAAGCAACAATTGAGGTACTACTGTTCAGGTTCCTTGATTCCCAACTTGCACTCAACTCCAGATTAATCATCAATAATATATATTCAGCACTAGGTCTCAATCAGCATATTTTATGTACTCGAATATTGCAATCATTTCTCCTGGTTTACTATACCAAATTGACACAAAAGAATCCCACTTACAGTATCAGACAATCAAATCTGGTGACTCTTCACCAAATCTGTCAAATCTGGTAACGTTTCACACTGCATGTCAAATGCAAGAGTGAAAATGGATGGATCGGGAAAACCTAATATATTTAGACTGGAGAAAAAGCAACTGGTACCTCTGGTCCCAGATCTGGTCTAAGACTACCTTTGAGAATATTGGTATTTATCAGCACCAGAAATTTCCACAGTGTACAAAAGCTATGCCTGAGTTCCAAAAACAACAGGCAAATGTATTGACAGGTATCCAGCTACCTTCAAAACCACAATCTGGAGATTCTGATCCTTCTTTTTCAGCTTTGCAAGGCTGAGGTAATTTTTTCTATAAGATGCTCTTTCACAAGGCAACAAAGAAACTGGAGGTGAAAAATATGCCAAAACAATAGTAGAAACTTGCAGAGTTTTCAAGCCTTTAAAGTAGTCCCTGAAGTCCCTTTATATCTGATAATATAAAGGTAGTCATAGGTTCTATGTACAAAACCCAAGAGGGTAAAATTAGTCAAATGAGATTTAGAATTTAAAGTAAACCATGTTCTCTGAAGAATATTCAGGCTACAAAGTGTTCTGCCTGTAAGGCCCCAAACAACTCATTCAGCAAGACACATAAAAGGGGCTTATGGTTGTTAATGTACTCAGAGTTACACACATGGGAGAAACACCAACCAGATAGTCTCAAGAGATCAAAACAACAAAAAACACTTTACTGGTAACTTTAGACGACCATAGAACTTTGGCAAAAGGTTTAGTACAATATTCAGTCAACATAAAACACTTCTTAAAACATTAACTTGGCCCATCCAACTTCGCAAACTCTAAGCCCACTTCATTTTAAGTTACTCCAAAAATTCCAAGAAGATGGAATTAGAAGAAGAAAGATCACGAAAGACAGAAAATACACAGAATAGCACATATATAGCCATAAATTCCTGGGTTCCAGCAGTGTTCAGATAGAAATTCCAAGAGAAGGTAGTGTCAAGACATCAGATAGCTTCATATTCAGCTTTAAACACCCTTTGGCCTTCCTAGGCCCTTCCCCTGGCTGGGATTTTCGGTCATTTGGCCACTCAGGAGCTGGGTTAGGGACTCCAGAGGTAGACATGGACCAGTGCTTCTGGTGTGCCAGGGATTGGTAGCCACTGCAGGGCTGAGACACAGGCTCTAGGGCTGAGATACACTGCCTTGCCAGGGCAAGCCCCCACCTGCTCCTTCCCCCACACACATGCATCCTAAAATTCTCAATAGGAAATTAAATTACTTTGTACTGGTTCTGATTGGGTTAATCTTCTCTGTCAGCATTTAATTTTCTTCATATCAGCTTATGTGGTATCATCAGATTTGTTATCAAAACAAGGCTGATAATGCACTGACGTTTGAGTTGAGCAGTGCTTTCACAGCATCAAGGCCTTCTCTTGTTCTCACTCTGTCCACACAGGGAATAGGCTGGGGGTTGGGAGTGGGAATGAAGGGTGCAAAGGAGGCTGTGAGGGGACAAAACCAGGCAGATGTCATGAAATAAAAAAGGATGCTACAAAATAAGCAAAGAGATATTTCTTGCCATATGACATCATTCTCAGCAATAAAAAGGGAAAGGCAGAGGTTTGAATGGGTTAGCCACCATCTGCTCTGGAATTGGTTAGACATTGTTTGATCCATGGGAGATGGTGAGAAATTGCCTCTGCAGGCAATTTCTTTACCCTTTCTTTCTCCACTTCTACTTCACTAAGTAAACAACTTATCTTAACCCACAAGTTTTCTTGCTTTTGCTTTTCCTTTTCTCTTCCCTGTCTCACTGGGGGTTCATGGGGGAAAGCAAATGAGCATTTTTGTGGTGCTTAGCTGCCTATTAGGGTTAACCCACAAGGGGCTCAAAGCTCACTTGTGCACTGAGTATGCTATCATCTGTTCAGACTGGATGCTTTTTACATGTATATTTACAGAGTGTACCCATGGATTACCACTCAAAATAAAATTCATATTGTCCAGAGCAGAGATAACCTCTGTGTCTTGACAGAACCCAGGCCTGGTTCAGGGTTTCCATGTGGTGGAAAAGTCTCTCCTCCAACCCGTGGAAGGAGGAAGGACAGGACCGGCCAAAAATCACCTCCATCTTAAAACCTCTGAGCCCCATGTACAAAGTAAACCCCCCCCCCCCCCCCGTACAGGTGTTAAAACCCCCCTGTACAACACTAAAAAATTCTACCCTCTACTTTGTAACTACTTCTACTATAATATCTAAACTTTTGTGACTTCTTGTTCTTCCTGCAAAGTTGGTAAACCATTCCATGGTTCAAACTCAAAATCACAGCTGTTTCCAGCTGCCTGCCAGGGTCTAAAATGCTTCTGACCAGGGCCTGGAACCTCCAAAAATGTCTGAGGGACATTTTGAGTTCCAACAGTGTCTGTTTTCACTTTTGGCCAACCAGCTGACAAAACTTCTCTCCCCAGACATTATCTTGCACCAGTTGGAAGAGACAGAGTGGCAGAGACAGAGGGGCAGCTAGACCTACCACTAGATATTCATTATATATATATATATTTTTTTAACTTCTTAGTTATAATGAAAGGTCTTTCAGTTGTTCCTAAAATCAGCTATAGATATTACAGGCCCTATTTTTTTAACAGGAACACATTCTCATAAAACAACTTTTTTCATTCATCCCTCACTTGAGAGTCATCATAAGTTAGGTTAAGCATACATGCTGCTACTAACCAGGGATAACACCATTTTTTTTTTTTTTCTTTAAGGAATATCTTAATCAAAATCAGCTGGTTTACCTGCTGAAGCCATTCCCTGTGGTAGATCACCTCAAATTTCACAAGAACTTTTGCTACTTTGTTGTAATTGCGGATTATGCTCTTGCCATCTGGTGTTTGTAGAACTGCTGGATGTCTCTGGAAAGTCACCATGGGCTCCTTGATCCTATGGAATAGGTGACATGCCCACAAGATCTTGCCAGCTATTGGGGGCAGATTATGAGCCAGTGGAGGGTCCTTTTTGTGCCTAGTGTAGATCTTACAGACGGTTTCTATGTCATGGCATAGTTTTGAAATATTTTCTGATACTTTTCATCAATGCCAAAATTTGGGATTTGCAATCTGCTTAGAAAAATAATAATAATGAAAAAACTCCTTCAACACTTCTGAAATCCTCCTAATGCATTGTTGGAAAACAGTTGTTCCAGATTCCCTTGCATGCTTTAGAAAATAACTACTTTGGCAGCAGAGTTTTCAGCTTGAACAAACGTTGTCACAACCTGACTCCAAAAAACAAAGATTTAGACCAGATGATAAAAGTTTCCAAGTAAGCCTACACATTTTCTGTTTCATCACTGTTTTCAAACACTGGGCTGAAACTATATGCAGCAAACTGCAACCAATTCACCACTAGCTGTCTATTCCATTAAACAGATTATAATAAAAAAACTGACAGAATAAAGAGTAAGGCTGTTTTGCAACAATGTTAATTTAGAAAGACAAATTTCACTGTTTCTTAATAAAAGCATTTTATTCTTTTCTAACTGCATTGTGGTAACAAATTAATGCCATTGTTCAAGCATAAAGCTAAGGCAAATATGCTAACAAAATTTTCCTTTACTTCAGCTGGTTTTGAAAGATGAAGTTCAAAGTCCACTCATATTTTGCAGTTTCAAATTCAAAAAAATATGGCTTTTATTCATTCAAGCTACTAAGACAACTCTTAACAGGGCTGAACAGCTGAGACCAGAGAGGTTGAGTTTATTTTTTTTGTATTTAAGAAAATGCCTCCTGCTCTGCTCTCCGTCCATCCCGACCCATACCCCCACCTCCCCACCCCCAGTCCTTTCCACTATCCTCAATGTTTTATTTTCATTGCCTGGCAGAATTTTAGAAATCTAAATAGGACATATTACCTTTCAAATTTCTGCAACATACTCAGTGCCCTTTCAGTGTTCAGAATACTTTCAAAGGTGATGTCCATGAACCTCCTTAATTGATCCTGAAGGAGAGTAAATAATTCTACATCAGATAAGCCCCTAAAACACACATCAAATATGCCAAGTATTATTTGACAGGGTTTAACATGCAATATATTAGAAGATAATTTGTTGATGTGAAACTAATCTCAATAAGTATTATTTTTCCATTTATTTCTTCCCAAAATAATTAAACAAAACACAGCCAACTTTCGAGGCATTTTCTTTCCAAGTTCCCTCTGTAGCTCTGCAACCAGGAAAAGCTTCTGTAGCCTCTGATGTTTCACCATGTTGAGAGGCCTTAAAGAATGCTTGCTTACCTCTCTGTAAACCAAAGCAAGACAAGCTTTTTTTTTTTTCTTCTGCAGATACCCTTTTCTTTCCCCATCTTGTGATTTCAGAACTATTGGAAAGTTAATTGTCTGACTTATTTGTACTACACTCCTATTAATTCAGTGAAATTACCCATTTTTGTTATTCTTGCCAGCATACAGTAATGAAAAATGCTTTTGCTGAAGGCCCTAAATGGCCCATTCCATTAAACTAGTCTGAAAGATAGTGAATGGAAGCTTCAAAGTGGAAATATATGGGAATAATTTTTCAATTTCAGAATGCAAACTTTGAGATTTGCATTTTTTGTGGTAACTCAGAGATAATAATAAGGATTTCTCAATAAATTAAATTATTTTGTATAATTGTATCATGCATGAAGATCATTTATGTCTGCAAAACTCTTCATAGTCTTGGTCAAAATCAGTCTTCTGCTGATCCAAGAAATCATAATGCTTATTCTTCATGTTGCCAACAATTCTCTAGACAATTTCACAGAAAAAGATAACCATTACAAAAAAAAATGTCTTATGAAAAAGACTTTCCACACCAAACATTTAGCACAACAGGTTGTGCATATTCACATTTTACCTTTGCTAAGTACTTACTGAGCAATATAAGCAAACCCCTTAAAAGAAATATTTGCAGAAATCAAGTTGGTGTAATGTCCATTCAAATTTCATTTCTATTATTTATTTCAAATAAATTTGAAATTTATTTCAAATTTCATTTGTATTATTTATTTCTAATATTCTAAGTCAATTAGAACTGACACAAAATTCAGACTTGCTTTTCATCAAAGACATTTTTTACTAATTAAACATTCTGTCATGAAGAAGTACATTTCTATTAAAAATTTAAAGTTCAACAGAGAAAAATATTTTACATTATTATTTTCCATGTCCTTTAAACAACTAATTCCATATATAAATAGACTCTACAAAAAGCACAATAAGATGCAGCACATCACCAGCCCACAACTTAGTATTCCTGGCTTCTCTTACACAGCTGCTGTCTATACACATAAAAGTATATCTTAATCATCATCTCCCTTGAGATGTACACACAGATAAAGGATTCCTAATGATAAACTACTGTTCAACATCCTAGTAGTTTACCACAGTATAATTATGAAACTCAACATATTTCCAGCTCAGCTGACTTCCCTACATTTATGGTAAGTCAACTGAAATTCAGCTTCATTGCATTGCTGTAAACAAAAAATTCCATCTTTTCCTTGAACAGATAGGAACTAAGTATTAAAGCATAAAAAACAGCAAAATAGTTAACTCCTATTGTAAAGAAATTTTAAGACATATAATCAGTCACATACTAACTGTAGCTATGGTCCATGTCAAATACTTCAGTAGCTCAATCTTGTCACTTTAAAAAGAAGTGTGATCACTTTTCTGCTCTTTATGCAACCTATTCAGAACCATTCATGCAGCCTTTTTTACCTAAGCATTCTTCATCTTGAAATACAATTGACTTTACAGCAGCTGGGTCTCACACAAAGTTCTTGTTTAAGGACTTGGGTGCTCCAATGGATAATGAGGTGTATCTCTATAAAGTTTGCATCATAGCTTGAGCTGATGGTCACAGGCAGTTTTTCAAACACAAATGCCCCAAAGAAATTCAATTCATGTTTTCCAGCCTATAAAAATTGCACTTCATTGCATGATCTGAAAATTCTCCACAACCCGGGTTGCTGAGAAGTCTGGTTATGTGACTTTGGAGAGCAGCTCTTGGAAATAAAATTTAGAGCTTTCCACACCTGTCCTGCCCACATGGAAGAGTCTTGGACTAAGGTATCCTTACAGCTGTGCCCTCGCTAAGTCTCAGAAGACTATAGAACAGAACAAAGCAGAAAACTGGTTACTATGAAGGATGTATTCAAAGAATCAAAACCCCAGACAACAGATGGAGTAAACCAGACAAGAACGGACCATGGAATGGTCACATTTTACACTACAGTTATTTCACTAAAGCAAAGTGATTGACTCCTGATCATAACAAAAAGGCAAAGAACAGAGTAAAGTGAACTAGAATGACATGTTTTCCTGTACAGCCACTGATTCATATGTGATCTCAAAAAGCTGTTTACAAAGTCCACCTTCTGATTTATTTTAATATTTACAGGCACCATAATTATGATACTGCACTGATAAAGTTACACAAAAAAGTAAGCTAACTCAGGCTCAGTAAAAGCAGGAAAGACTCCATTTGGCAGAAAAGAAAGCTAGCTGAGAAAGAAGGAATGATATTCTTAAAAGAGCTTTATATTTATTTTATAAATAGCTTTAGAGCTATTTATATTCTTAAAAGAGCTCCTTGTTACTCAAGTCCCACTTCTCTTAAAAAAAAATAAAATAAAGAAAACCACATAGTAACACTAATGAGCCAAGGGGTACTCACAGCTAGCCCAACATTTGTAGAGATAGAAATGTAGCACTTCTCACTTTTTCTCATGACCACAGCACAAAACTCTGCTCCCATTACTCCTGTTACAAAGTCATCCCAATTTATTGCATTTTTCAATCAGCTTTGATTTTAGCATACTTCTTTTACATGTCCACTGGCACCTTTTCTTTCATCTTGTCTTCTTATTTCTCCAATAATCACATATTTACGTTGCTATTACCCTGTATTTTTAACACAATTAAAGAGTTAATTTTTTTTCAATAAACACTTTCCTAATTTTCATAGTTTTCTCATAAAAGGTTCAAGCTAGACTGACCCAATATACAAAATCTAATGTGTACCTGATATTTTGTGATCATTGCTGCCAATCCCTCTATCTTAGATTCCTGTAGAACTGAGTAGGTTCTCATAGTACTGAAAACATCTATTATCTTTACCAGATGACAATGAAAGGCTTCAAATTTTCCAAATATATATATCTCACTAAAATCAAATTGTCTTTCAGCTGGATTTTGTTCCAAATTCTCTTTTATCTTGTGGAAGCAATTTTGATACTCCTTAAATAAAGAATTTAAAAGAATGTCAAGCATATAACAAAAATCACTGTCTTTAGCTAGAACAAAATTTACACAGATAGGTATTATCCCAATCTGACATCAAGTAGAAGTTTCACCAATAAACTATCATGAACACTATAAAGAGAGTAACAGAATTTGCCTCTGAAAATTAACCCATCAATGCCACTAAAGAATTATACATTTCATCAAATGACCAAACTGTACATATATGTATTTGTACATATCCTTGTCTAGCATGAAATTCTGTTCCCTCCATTTCATAGCAGGGTTTGATGTGTTTACTGAATAACCAAGATGACAATCCAGTTTCCAGAGACTGCAAATGTTTGCATGCTGAGTAGTTTTACTAAGTAATCAAGGTTCAAAAATCACTTTCAAGAACAAATCACTTCCTGAACTTTTAATGCTGCTCCGTAGCAGCTTCCACTTTTGATTCTGCATTTCTAACAAGGAACAAACCTTATTCAAGACTTGCTAAATTCTTCCCAAAGTCAAAGTACATAGTCAACAGATTCACTTGAAACTGTTTCTTTCAATAGTGGTTCTCTTTACAATAAAATGTTCATTATTTTATCACATTTATGTATGAATAACCTCACTCAAAGATATCAATACAGAGGGTCCAGATTTTGCTATGTTGCTACTGATTCAAATTCTAAGTTTTAATCTACTGAATTTCTGAAAGTTTCTGGAACTAATAAGACGCAAACTAATACCTAAATTTCAATATATTTTCATGCATCAACTGGACAATTTGATATATCTTTATAGAAAAAGACAAGTTTATTGCTCATTGATGATGGTAAGATGTCATACAAATTTACACTCATTTATTCTAGAACTAGGTAAGATTTGTTGCTTCAGGAGGTATTAGGATAAAGCTCTAGTCCTGCAAGCACACATTGGGAATGAAAAAAAATTAATGGAGAAAGCCTGCGTGAAGCTCCCAGTATGTACAGGGAGATTATCAAAGAGAGAGTCAGGCTCTTCTTCACAGTAGCACATGGACAGAAGCCAAGAAGCAAAGGGCGTAAATTGAAATGGATGAGGTTCTGACTGGCTATAAGGAGGGAACCGTTCTTCCCAAAGACAGTCAAACAGTGAAAGAGGATGCCCAAAAAGGCTGTGTAATCTCTTTATCCTTGGAGAACTTCAAGACAGGACTAGATAAAGGATTGGGAAACCAAGTTTGATCTCATACTGTGCCTGCTTTGGGTTTGAGTAGAAGGTTGAACTAGATACCTGCTGAGGATCCTTCCAAGCCAAATTATCCTATAATACTATGCTTTAAGGCGAGAAGAAGAACAAAGAAAAAAACCTTTTAAATTATCACAGAAGTGCATTAAGAAAAAAACAAATGCTATCTTCCTGACAAGTCTAGGTTGACTGAACAGCTGAATTCTTCTCAGTTCACTAAACTGTCTTTTCTAAATGCATAGCTTGTCCACACTTCTTTTAATATATTCAGTTCAGTAACTCTCCTTGTTTCAACTTCTATTTCATAACTCTCCACATCAAGTGAGAAGACACAATATAGAGAAGCATAGGCATGAAAATCCAAGCAATTCTCTTATAAGCATAGTTGAGATAGACTAAGCATCAAAATTCTGTTTCCAGAAGATCAACAGACAACAGGCTAAATTCCTTGTTAGCTCTAGCATAAACATTCCAGTTCCAGTGGATATTTTTCAATTAACTCATTTTTCTTCACTATAGCAGTGCTTTCTCACATAAAATCTTCCTATTCCTGCTCTCCTAAATATCATCCTATAATCTGTTTTCTATATGTTATTCCCACCTACCTGTCTAAGTCTAATAGCTGCTTGTAGCTTTTCCACAACTCTCTCCTGCAGTTGATTCCAGATGGTGGCTGTGCTATTGTTTGCTATATAAGATTTACACGCTGTGATCATCTGATTGGTCACCTAAAAGCAGTTTTAACTTCATGAAAACAACAGCATTCCAAGGCAAAGCAGATCTTGCCATTCTCTCTCCCATTCCTCTGACTCCACTGACCTAAAGCCTGACAAATAGCAATACTAAATACCAGACAGACTGCCTTCCTTGCAACACCCGGCCTCCAGAACATGACACAACAAAAATGCTGTTGGTTAACTATGCTCATCCTCAACCTACACATCTTGTACCAACCTTGAAATAGTGTTGAAGGGTACAAAGTCCTAAGACTTCATCTCTTCTGAAAGCAAATGTGAACTCAAGAGCCCATGAGAGTATAAATGATAAAGAATATGTTGTCTTTCTAATCCATTTCCTTCTTTTTGCAAACATGTGGATGTTTAAGGGCAATATGAATTTAATGTATTTGGTTGTACAAAAAAAACTCCATTCATAACAGACAAAACTTGTAAAAAATTCCTCTCTGCACATCAGAGGTCAGATTTAAGTCTGAGAATGTTCCTATAACTGCAAATTATAGACAGTGAAATAAATCCTAAATTTGAAGTAGTTTATCACTATTTCCACTTCTTTATATATTAAAAAAGCAGCATTAAAGTGACTGAAGTGCTGCTTCCCTAATTGCTTGGTTCCTTTGTGTTTTCTCTAGCACCCAAGCAACAACACAGAAAACAATCCGGGAATATTTATTTTCCTGCTGAGCACCAACCTTCACCAACAGTGAGAAGATCTTTTCAGAAGTGTTATAATACTGAGAGAGACTCTGAATCATTTTAATTGCATTTATGAGCTCTGGAATAGCATCCAGAATGGACACCTGGAAAGAAACACACAGATTGAACTCTGCTCAATATCTCTATTACCCCCCATTATCACAACACCTAATTAGTGAATACAGGAGAAGCATGAACATTGTCTTTGGAATGGTTCTGTCCCTGTCTACCTGGGCCTCTCTTGCAGAGCTGCCTGTCTTACATCATTCTCCAAGCTCTACAATTTAATTTTGGGAAAAAATTTCCACTGGAGTCTTGCCTGGAAAAATCCAGATCAGTGAGTGAAATTTGGTAGAAGTAAAGGCTTTCTTTCTTTCTTCTTTCTTCAAAAGAACCACTTTTTTCACCAAAAAAAAAAAATGTTTATATGCTCAGTTGCTAAACCTGATGTAAGCTTGCATGCAAAGATGACCCCTTCACCAAGCTTTTGCTCTGTTTTCATGGGCATCATAACCCAATAACCATTCAATAGAGAAACTCAAATAGCAGACTGGAAACACTGAAAGAACAGACTGTTCTAATATCACCCAGTAAACAGAAACAAGCATGGTTGCCCAGAGCACTCTTTGGAAACAATTTGGTTTTGGGAAAAGTTTCAGAGGAGAGAGGGGAAGCTAGGACAGGTCAAAGTTTTGAGTCTTCATGGCTATCAGTCATATTTCTTTGACTAGCAAGACACATACAGTCAGTTGCAAAACCAGTTTTATTAAAATCAATTATTTGCCACTTATTTAAGTTGATAATGGGAGAGAGAGACTCCTCCAGTCTTGTACTTTAGGGTGGCTGGTTTTGTTTATTGCATTTTATGCTTGCATCATCCTATGCATTCTCATACTAAAGTATAAGAAGGTGATTTATAATTATGTCTTAATATTTACATAATCTTACTTATGCAAAAATATTTTTTCCCAACCCAAGAAGCTGAAAATTGCTCTAAAAATGTTAATTTGGCCATCAACACAAAGACAAAAGATCAAACTCTGTCTTTAGCATAACCTTAGATCTACTTTTCTTTTTAATCGTAAGGAATTCACTTTCTCCCATAGGATGGAATCCCATCTGTTCATCAGAACTAAAGCTTTACAGATACTATGGTATGAAAATAACAAGTACTTTATTTTGTAGCCATAAATTCCCATTAATCCACTTTTACCACAACTACACAAAATCTCAAACTGGAGTTGCATATGTAAAATTTTTTGTCTCATTTCAAAACTCATCCTACAAAATATATTCATGTTGCTTGTCTCAAGACATTTATGTTAAGAATTTAAAAGTTTTAATTACAGGATCACTATTGTATAATGGGTCATAATATTTTTCCAGAGAATACAGATATTTCACATTATCTTTAGCTTCATTTGCTGCGTCTGTGATGCGAATATCCAATGCTCGCCACTTCTAAGAATAGAAAGTCAAAAAAACAAATAGAAGTATGCATTTCAGAAAAAAATGTTTTGAGATCATTTTGGTTTGTCATTAGCTTCCAAACACATTCAAAATCATAGATCTTTTACTTCAGAATTATACTTGTCCTGTTTCAGCAACTTGACTGTGAACATACAGTTGGTTTAGACCACTCAGCTAAATAGTCAGTGGCAGTGTGCAGTCAAGCTGCTGTAAAATATATGAGTTATGGTTATATAATTATGTATTTGTTCCACATCTCATTTTGATGAGACAAGATTTTTTGGTTTATTTACTTATTTTCTGTTGGTGATGGGACTTTAAATTTGTTATATGTCAATGTAACAAGTTATGATTCCACAATCAATTCTGACAGGCACTGCAACAACATAAAAACAAGGCTTAAAAATGGGGAGATTCAATTTTTTGTCGTTAAATATCCAGTTCATTAATTCAATATTCTGATTTAATAATCAACTTTTCATTTTTAATTATTTATTTCTGTTGAGCCATGTGGATGAATTACATTATCAGCCTTTAGACTTAGGGGATTCCCATTTTTTTTTCAATAAATTGAACTAGATATAAACTTTATCTACTCAAGCTAAAGAATAGAGAAGGTAAACAAAAGCCAAAGATGTTTCAATGTTTTCCCCACCAGCATTGTTACATACATTATCAAAATGAGCTAGGGTATAAAGAGCACTTCTAGTATCTATATCTGTTGTAATTTAAAGTAAAAACCTTCAGCAGTTTGGATTTAGCAGCAGTGAGTACTCCAAACACTCCCTTCATATCTGGGCTCTTCAGCTGCTCCATAAGGTAGTGGAATTTTGACAATTTCTTTTTCCAATAATCAAGCTCTGCTTGTGGTCCAAGGTCATCTGCTTCTTTTCTCAACTGGTCATTTTCTGCAAGAACCTTTTATCATACAGTAATGTGAGAGATGCTCATATTTTTATCTGCAGAGCTAGCATGGATTGATTCTACTTTTAACAAGTGGTATTAATCTCGCCTGATAAATTACCTAACTTAACGTCCCCCTCATATAAGAAACTTGATCTTGTTTGGTCCTTTTATTTCCAAGTTAAAGAAGAGATTCTGTTCCTTCTGTTCCAAGACCACTGTTACAGGCAGTTACATTTTCTACAAATAACATGCAAAGCATGTTTCAAAGTACAAATGTGACCACTGTGAACGGTGTTCACTCAATTACTGTGGGGTTTTTTTTTGTTTTCATTAAATCCACTGGGAACTACTAACTGTTTTGTAGTTTAATAACAGGTAATTATCAAAGTCAGGGGACTAAGTTTCCCAAACCATGTATCCCGTATTAACAAGCCAATGGAAGAAGCTCTGAGTAATATTTCCACTGAGAAGCAAAAGCACAAAAACTATACCAATAGTGCTTTAAAATAAAGAGATTGAATTCATCCAAATTTATAGAAAGGTAGCTATAACACCAACAGGATTAAACTCATCTGCCAAGATGCAGACGTTGTCATATTTCACATTTGTCCCATGTATCACCTGTACAGTTTGTTTGGTCCATTCTCTCATGCAGACTTCTATTTTTTCAAGAGCCTCTATGCTGTTAGCAACCATCAAGTAATCTGAAGGTCCTCTTAGAGTTTTCAGATCATACGTTTCACATTTCTTCAGGCTGACCTAAAATATAAGTTTTTAAAAGATGAAATGCTGAATGTTCATGACAAATAAGCTAGGAACTTTCAAGACTAACTCGTTGCCCTGCTTGGGGTATCTCACTTCTTATTCCCAGCGCAGTCTAAATTAAACTGGTTTGAGCCAGAAGTGGAGTCCAGAATTTGAAGAATTCACCAACCAGGCAGCTATGCTCTCATGCTCTCATTCCTTCATAAAAGCTGAGTAGAATCCAACCAGATAAATCAACAGTTTCTCTTACATTAACCATTCAATATTTAAGAGTGACCACAGCCATTGAGGAGACAAGAATTTAATAGCTCTAAAGAAATGGCCCCAGAATAAACAAGAACAGAAGCATCTACAGAACTATTAAATCCACAGATCAAAGAATAATGAGTTACTGATGACAATAAACAGAAATGTTAGGTTATTTTCCAGTTTAATAAAAACAAATTGTATGAGTAATCTATGACAGCAGCTAATTCAAAAGGTCCAGAGCTAGAGACATTCTACAGCTAGCTCACTTTCTATTTCCCACATGAACATAATACCTTTTCCAACAGACTTTGCTGAGTTCCTGATAGGGCACTAACAAATGCTTCAAGGGCATGAAGGAAGTCATGCTTAATATTGGGAACTTGTTGAGGTTCAACCCAGCCACTGTCCATAGCCTGTAAGGCTGGAATGAATATTTCTGATATCAACTGCTCAACACTTTTTAATAAACCATCTTGACCTATATCCAGCATATTAAAATTTACTTCCTGTAAAAGAGACACAATAGAAGGGGTCTTTCAGCAGTAAAAACTTCATCATATACATATACATATACATATACATATACATATACATATACATATACATATATTTACATATACACTCTCAAAAGTAAAATATTTTTTTGTTTTTCAAATGAATTTGCTAGTTTCTTTTTTAATTTAGCACCTTAGTATTTAGGTATTGATTAATTAGTCTGCCATTACAGATTGTCTTAAATTTTCTTCCTCAGTATCATTTTTCATATCAATGATATGCATCAAGTTGCTCCCACAAGATAATATCTGTATTTCCATTTCCGTCCCTTTTTGTCCTGTTTCATTTAATCCATCAGTGTTCTTTTACTCATTCCCCCATGTCAACAGCTGTCTAATTATATGCAGAGATCAAATAAATACCCCATGGTAAAAACAAATTTTAAACAGCATTATGTACAGAGAGGAGTAGCCACTGCCTTATTTGATAAATATTCTCAGTTGTGACTGATTTAGAAAAACTAGATCTAATGAAGAAAATTCATACACCAGTTAAAGCAACTTCTTTTCCCTCTGTCACAAATACTTTCAGTTTCTTCTTCTTGGTCAAATGAGAGTTCATTCCTATTCCTGGAAGGCCAAAGTACTCTACAGATTCAAACAAATAAACAATTAAGACCCATGATCATTTATTCAAAGAAAAGTTCTCTACACAAACAGTTCAGTCATTATTTGTGCCTCTCTGAGTCCCAGTCTCCTGGAGGCATCTCACTGAACTACCCACAGAAAGTATGCAGCATTCAGAGTCTTCATGTCCCAATAAGAAATATTTCATCTAGTTTTGCCATTCTTGCATCAAAAGCCTTTTATTTCTATTAATTTATTTGTTTTTTCTATTCCTTCTAAATAATGGTTCAAACTCAAGGTCCTTTTATAGGGTCAATCATGCAATTGGAGATAATCCTTGAAAAAGAAATGTTAAAAGTCAGAAAATGTAGTGATGTATTTTACCTTAGAGGACCTACTATCAACAGTCCTTCTCTAAAAATATGCAATCATAAGGGGAAAAAAAAAAATAGGGTGCTTCTGAAAACAAGGAGAAAGGGGCCATAACAGGTTCTTTGGGGCAAAAGCAAACAAACAAAAACCAATAAGGAAGCCACAAGGGACTTCCTTGTCCATTCTTCCCCCAGCATGAATATACTGCTCTCATGTTCAGGCTGCTGGCAACACTTGTAAAGGGTCACTAAGAAGAAGCAGTGTCTTTGGGGGTAAAATATTTCTCATATGTTTTTGGTCACAATACCTCACACTACCTTGTTACTAGGTTTTCAGTATTACCTCAGAGTAAAATTGTATGCATACACATCTCAGTGAGGCACTACTACAACAAGAAAATGAAAAAGTAAGTTGCTCCATTTGTGCTTTCTACTTCATAAAAAAGGCTAAAAGATCACCAGAAGCTGGAAGAAAGACACAATTATCCCTCTTCCATTAATAACAAGCCTCAGTTACACCAAGATAATGAACTACTATTCCAGAAAATCTTGGCTCCGCCCTCCAAGATGAGATCAAAACAACTATTACACTTCTCTCTTTCCAAGTATAGAAATTGCCTATATTTTCCTCATCTGACAGCTATTCTCAGGCACTATAGTTTGCCAGGAAAACCATTTAGAGATAGAATGCACAAAGGCTGAAACAAATTCTGCTTTTTAATGTTCATGACGGTGTTCTGCACTGCTCATTTGCTATCTCATGAACTCACAGAAATGTTGGAAGGGACCTTTGGGAGGTCCTGAAGCCAGTGTCCTGTGTCACCAACAACAGCTCAAATCATCTAGAGCTTTTCCTGGACTGAGACTCAAAAACCCCAAGGACAGAAATTCCACAACTGACTTGAAGTAACCTATTCCCATGCCAGGGGGAGGGAAGGTAATTCCTATTACCCTCCTGGTGAAGAAGGGTCTCTTGGTGGCCATTTTGCAAGATGTGGCTTTATCATTGAAGTTATCATCTGCACCCACTGAGAATAGTTCAGTTCTGTCATCTTTGCAAGCACTCTTCAAGCAACTGCAGGCTACTATTTGAGTGCCATTCAACCTCTTCTTCTCCCTTATCTCATTCTTCATGTGCCCTGTGTCCCACCCTTTCTTACTGGTCTTCCACTGGACTTTCTTCAGTTTCTCAACAATATTAGCACTGAAATGTAGCATGCATAAATTGAAGGCACGCTGATGGAAAGAGAATACGAAAGAAAACAAAGCATAAAAACGCAAACCACAGCCATGTTTACTTTAGTGTCAGGAAGTAAAATATCTACTGCTGTTTACCCAGCTTTTTAAAAAAGTGATATTTTTCAATGTCTCAGTATCTGAATTAGTATTAGCCCTCATGCAGTCACAACCAGATCACATAAGCCATTCTCTTTTGTCAAGTAGCTTCTACTTATTTTAATTTGCTAACCTAGATTGCGATATAGTCTCACAAATGCTGCTGGCAGCCTTATGGAAACAATAACATGCAACCTTGCTGTTGCTAGGACTCTTGAACCTCTCTGTACTCTGTACTCAAGGACTGGGAGACTTCACACTGTGGTTTCACTATGAAATACAGTCCCAAGTTTTAGCACATTAACTATAACCACTGGAAAGAAGAAATTCTAATCAATTTAAAAATCAATATAATTACAATAGGTCTTGGAATTAAGGACACTTTTGTTCAAATTAATTAAAAATGCTGAAAAATATTTTTTTCAAGGAGACTTGAGTGATCTCAGGTGTGAAGTCTAAAAACTCTCTCACCATGAATTTAATGGTAATATTAGTTCCAAAGTATACTATGAGCTTCACTTTCAAATTCATCAGATTACCTGGTTTCCATCAAGAATAGCATCTTCTGCTTTGTCCAGATTCACACAAGAGGCAATGATATCCAGTAAGTAATCATGTCTGCCATCCAGATGAGCACGTTTAGCCTCCCTCTCATCCTTGAGCTTTTGCTGTTATTAAATACAAAGTGAACAATGAAATATTCACAATCTAATTTGAAGGCAAAATTAAAGAAAACTTTAAAATTTATGTTTAAAATTTATTTTTGAAAGTAAAGGCTATTACATTCAATCCACACTTGTGATTTATGTTTTTATTGCACTCAAACGAAAATTTTAGAAGCAGCCTTTGTTACAATTTTACAGTTTGTTGCTGGTGTTCCTTTTTAAGATTTATCACGACATTTCTATCATAAGTAATGTTGTACAGAAAGCTAATTTGTTGAAAGGCTTTGTAGGAAAATAAGTATTTAGTATGTACAGGTCCATTATTCTGCAATTTACCTTCAACACCCTAAATCCTTCATCTCAGCTTTTAAGTCTAGTCACATATGACCATCAAGTCAAGACAGGATTCTGACTGGTCTTTGTTATGAGTGGAAGATAGTGGAAGATAGCACTCCCTAATAAATACAGATGCTGCTGCAGGAAGCTAGGGTTTTATACATTATCTCTTTAATATAATGAGAAGTAAAACAAACTACAAACAATCCTACTCTTCTAATTAAATTGAAATCCCATATGTAACACACCTCATTACATTATAGACAAAATAGCCTTCTGGAATAGTTACTGGTATTATTGTGCTTGTGGGTTGCAAGATTCAATATCATTTCACTTTCAAAAGAAATTTAGAATGATGTTTCATTGGTGGTAAATTCAATCCTTATTTTCCTGGTGATTAGGAGAAAACTAGTAACTTTATAAAGTATGCATAAGTGATTTATCCACAAGCTTTTGCAGAGCCAAAAGGAACTGCATAATATACTTTATAGCCTTATGTAAAAATCTTTCCTACTTTCTGAAGGAATTTTCAAATACATGGTAAACTTGTAACTACTACCATGCCTTCATAAATGCTGAATACATTTGAAATATTTCTTTGTATAAAAGACAAACATACAAATCCTATTCTTTACAGAGATATGTCTGAAGAACACAGAAGCAGATTAATTCATACATGTACTTTGTGCTATTTTACCCCTCTCATACCCTAACATGGTCTCCAGTTTCCTGAAAGTGAAGTGTCATCACAGGACTGGATTTTCCTACCTGTTTTTAAACATAAGCATAAGTTTTCCTCCTTGTTAGACATGCTAAAAGCAACCATTTTTTTCTGAATCAGCTTCATTCACACTAGATGATAACAATAGAATCCTCAAAACTATTGTTCCTGTAATTTGAACACAACTGATAGGGCATCTTTAAGAAAAAAAAAAACAAAAAAACTCTACCAATTAGCTTCTATTTAATACAGAAAGAAGCCTTTTGTTTTACCTAAACTACAGTCTACCTTTGTACTCTGCTTGTGTTTCCAATATAGAGCTCCAGGTATATTACTATACAAGACTACATCTTACACTGTTTTTTAAGTAATCAGCTCTACCTATACAGATGCTCTTTACAGGTTCATAGCCTCCATTTCTTCCACAAGTTTCTGTTTGCATAGGCTGAAATCATGAGCATATTCTTCTCAAATTAAGCAATCATTCCCCAACATTTGTTTCTGGTTTTTAAAACTTGTTTTAATTGCTGTGACTCAAGCCCTGTGACACATATATAAACTACTGTGCATAGCTATTCATACAGCACTGGGCAATATTTGTTGTCTAAATCCAGCAACAAGAATATTCATTAAGTTATCACAAAACTTTAAAAGTCTAATTAACTTAAATTACTTAATGAACCATGCCTAGAGAAATGGGAAACTTTTAAATGGTAAAGCTATAGTTTTATGAAGATTAAGACTTTAACTTGTATTTATCATGTCACTACTGGAAGGTCTTTGTTTTGATATGTTGGATATTTCTATTACTAATGCAAGTTTCACACATTTTTTTCCTAAGGGTTGCTAAAATGCAATGCAAGAACACTCAATACAATTCAAGCTGTCATGCTTCTATATTTTGAGGAGTAATCATTTTCAGAAACTTCCTTCCCAAATGAAATGTTGCTCAATCACAAACTCACACATTAGTTGTTGCAGTCATTAGAAGAACCTTCTGCCTCACTTTTAGGTTAAAAGTTAGGTTTCCTCTACTTGTCTGTGTAAAACATAATTCTTTAGGTTGTACACTAAAAAGTAGAGAAAACCTAACTTCAGTACTTTCAAAAGCAAGCCACTAATTTATGTACTTAAAAACACTAGGAGGCTATGCTGGAAACTGTCTTCCAGTCTAGCTTCTGAGCTTCTATTTGCATACTGCTAAAAGAACGAATTTTAAAGATATTCTTCACTTAGGATTAGGAATCTCAGAGAATTAATTACAAGAAAATGCTGAGCTTTCTGCCGCTCATTCTTCCCTTTCCCCTTTAGCTAACCTCACATCTCACTTCAAATCAGCATTGTTGTTGTGGCCTAAGAGTTTTTGTAATTTTATATCCTGCAGTATTCACTACAAACGTACATAGGCCTAAACAGAATCTATATCAAAAAATATTACCCAATAATAGGCAGCTCTATGTTATTCAGAATTTCATAGAACACTGAAAGACTGAGATTTGAAGATGGAAGGATGCTGAAACACACACAGGATCATTTATTAGGTAAAAGAGAAATTGCTGTTACATGCAATAACACCAACATGCAAATCCTGACTAGTATCACCAGCAACTCTGATCAAGGTCATACATCAAAGCCTCTTCCTAATGTCCCATGATGTAGGAGGATGTGGTATTTACAAGAGATAAACACTGTCTCAGTTAGATATCTGTAAAGATTGTCTACGTTTTTTATAGTACAGCTTCAGCTCAGTTTTTCATGTAAAGAACACAGGCAACACAGCCAAGTTAGTTTGGGTTTCTTTAACCACTTATGGTTATGAAGGTGTGAGAGGTCATAGGACACAGTCCCACAGCAGATGAAGGTCCAAAGCTAAACTCGTTAACTGAAAAGTCCTTTTCTGGTGATTAGTCCAGTTACAACATGTAGCTTGATTTATGTTACATAAAACCTTAAAATTCCTTAATCCTAAACACTAACAATTTGGCACAGAAAACTAATTTCAATAGGCATCTTCTCCTGAAGCAAGAAAAGGAAGAGATTCCTAAATCTATCTTTCATATACCTAAACCCATAAATATCTCACCATTAGTGTTAAGAAATAATTTGAGATTAAATTAAAATTTTCAAAATGTTTCCTAGCTGCTAAAAAAGTATATACATTTAAACAGCAGGTACTAAAAGAGCACAACTCAGAGATGCAAGGGGTTCATTTTTTGAAACAGCAGGCTTAGAAACCAGCTATTGACTATTGCCAGCTGCTCCATTACAGACTGTAGCTACAGATGCAGATACCCTGAATAGAGTTAGCAAGAATGTTGTTTAGTATGCAAGGCATATGCACACAAGATAAAATTTGTTCTGAATATTCTTTATCCAGCAAATGACACATTTTGTTGTCAGAATACTGCATAACGCTGAATTCAAACATGCTGAAATCAAAGTCTTAAGGATGAGCAAGATTTTACAGGGAAGTTCAATAGTGAAAGAGTCAAGAAGTGACAATGTTTTATCGTTCATTTACTTTCTTATCCAAAATTTATTTAACCAGCGTGGAATTCCTTTGTCTTTCTTTTAATTTGCTGAGATCTTTTATGTTACATAAGCTTTGCTCATTAATTTCCCATCAAAAGTAAACTGCACACCATTTCAAATATTTTCAAGCACCCCGAGTTTTTAATTTTCAAGTTTCAATGTTTTTATTTCCTCATTCCAAAAAAATACAAACCCTAAAGAATTAGGGCAGTTCCCTTATCTAACTCTTAAACCTCAAAAATAAGAGCTCTGCACATGTCATCACATTGCATTAACTGAGGAACAGTTTCCTTAGATAACCAGCTTTTAAAATGAGTCTAAGTATCTTAATGACTTCTATAGTCTTTTGTGTTTTCTCAATGTTAAATATTGCCTTCAAAATTCTATTCCCATCTTAGAAGTATGGGGAGAGTGAAGTTACATTTCTGTTTTCCTTCATGGCAGAGTCAACCCATGTTTTGTTGCCACATCTAACATCAAACTCTTTAGTGTACTAATATAGCATTTGTGAAATTATACCATTACCAGACCATTGCAACAATCTGGGCAAGATACAAGCACACTAGCCAAATGCATAAACACCTCCCAGTGCAAATTTGCCTTTCAAAACAAATTGTGCAACTAACATCATCCACTTATGCCTATTTTAAAGCACTTTTTTTCTGTGCCCTCCCCTCTCAGTACACATCATTATTTATTAGTCTAAATATAGTTAAAAATTCCGTTTTCCTTACCTTTATCACTCTGCCAATGCTTCGTTTCCAAAGTTGCTTTCTTCCGGCTCCAAACATTGTACTATTCAATATAAGCATCAAGCACTGTTTTTCAGGAACAAGCCCTAATCCATGGGGAAAGCTTCTACATTCATCATTTTCTACTCCCCCCAGCATTTTGTTTGCACTTGTTTCTTTCCTTTCAGTAGCAATGCCGAAATAACTCTGGAAAATATAGTAATGACATTAAAAAACCAGCACCTATTAACCTTATCTCTGTATTTAAAATTCAGTTCTAGTGTGCATACAAATTGCTAGAAAATTAAGTTGCACTACCACAGAAACAAGATGTCTCTAGCCACCAGAATTTACTGCCTATAGATTAGGCCTTGAAAGCTACTGCTACCAACCACAGTGTTGTTAAGGTGATACGGTTTACATACAAACACGGTTGGATACAATTCATCATACTCAAGGGCACCATAAGAATTTGCAGAAGTCAATTTTACAACTGCTTCCCTGATTTGTGTTTAGCCTTCTGAAGCAATCCTTGTGTCAACAGGCAACTTTGTTTCCTTGTCACAGGTGACTGTTTAAATATACAGCAACAGTCAAGCAACTTTTAAATATGTTTTACCTACAGGTAAATTACTAAGTTTTCTATTCATGCTTTTATACAAGTATGTTCAGTTATACTTATTTTTCAGTTGTACAATGGGTGCTTAATACAGAAAATTTTCTTCAGCAAGAAATGTTAGGGTTTTTTCCTCCTAAAAGAGCTTTAATTTTTTTCCACTTCAGTGACTGAATATAATCCAATATCCTCTTGAAAATGCCAAGAAAAACAATCTAATTATCCAGTATTAGTAACAATAAAACAGACATTTTACAGCTATTTCTGGCTTAAAATGTCTCTAAATATTTCTGCTTCCACTCATATCAATATGAGCAATGTCTAAAAGCACTTAACAACCTTAGCATTGACAAAAATCACAAGTAAAAACCATTTTCCCTGCATTATCTAAATTTTCCCCACTGTTATGGTTTGACACTGGCACAATGTTAGTGCTCCTATGAAAATGTGATCTTTTATTTGAATGCTGTGAAGTGGAATTTAGAACAGAGTAAACAGGCTTAAGCTTAATAATAGAAAAAAATTTTATTACACTACTACTAGAAAAAAAGAAAGGAAAAAAAGGAAAAAAAAAAACACATAAAGATTAAATGAAAACTTTGCAAAGCATTCCTCCCCCCACTACCTAACAACAACAAACTACAGTGAAACACAATCTGGACCCCAATCAGGTTTCTACCCTCCAGACAATCGATACTCAGCCCCTTTGAGGGAGGCAGGAGTCTCTCCTGTGCCACAGACCCCCTTAAGAAAACACAGCTCTACATCCTGTGTTTCCATGTTACACATGGCACCGCCCGGAGAGAAGTTTGCTATAGTGACCCTCTCCTTTCCATGCACAGTGCTCTCACCACTAGTGCATGGATGGATAGACTGCTTTTAGGATTTTTCTTTTTAAGGATTCCCTGCTAAGAGGGGACAAAAACAACAGTTTAGTTTTTTTATTGTTTGGGACTACAGTCCCCCTCATTTTTTCCATTTCCCCGGGGGACGAGGGTCCAAGAATAGAGATCTTCTTCTCTACTCTTTCCTTTGAGGGTAAGGGGGCGCCACCACAAACTCTTTAACTTTTTCTCCGTTCACTCTACTTTTGTCTTTTCCCAGCTGAAGCAGGTCTCTTGACTCACTGGCATCCTCCTAAAATATAGTTTCTCTTGGAGGAGAAGATTGGTTTAGGTTGTGGCTAACATGGAAAAGTCTAGCTAAAAGCTACTCCTTGTCCCCCTCCTATCTAGAATTCTTCCTTTTAACATCCCAGGGTCTAAGGTGTCCCTCTTCCTCTGTTTTAAACTGAGGAGGGGAAAGAAAAATTTATAAAGCTTTCATTTCTTCAGGAAGGGTTAAAAGTCCGAATTCCCAGGGCTGACTCGATGCCCAGACTCTATCTCCCACGTACTGGGCACCTTGTGGGCCCCCCCACCCCCTTCTTTCTTCGCGGTGTATCACTGACAAAACCGCCGCTGTCTCTTTCTCTTTCTCTCTCGGGAGAGAAACTCTGGGCGGGGGAACGGAGACATCTTAGATTTTTTCTACTCTTCCATCTGCAGGGGCCAGCCCGGTTCCAGTCCCTCCACCTTTGGGCCCACCTCAGTCAGGCCATGGGCCTTCCCCTCCCCACCTAGCCACGGCCGGGCAGGGGAGAGGCTGCACTGCGCACTGACCGGAACCAAAGAGAGCGAGTTCCCCTGGGAATTCTGCTTTTAACCCCTCTGTGTTCTCTGAGGCGTGTCCACCTTCAATTGGTCAATATCCAAACTGACCTCTTCCTTCCGGAAAAAATTCTCTTTCTGTGTCAAACCACGACAAGCACCTACTGTAGTCAAATCCAGCTGTGCATACATGTTTCAAAGAGAAAGACTGAAAAATTACATTTAGGGTAAAAGTAAACATCCACAGATTTCTCTGAACCCTTTTCAGTGTTACCATTTAAAATTAAATATGCTATTAAATATTACATATAAAGTTAATTCCTATGGATATATTCAAACCACTGAGGAATTAATTATTTACATTCTGTTGGAAAAAGTCCAGAGGAGAGTCACTAAGCTGATCACAGGACTGTAGCAGCTCTCTTGTGAAGACAGGCTGAGAAGGCCAGAGCTGTTCTGCCTGGACAAGAGCAGACACTAGGGAGACCTTCTAGCACCTACCATTTCCTAACAGGGGCCTGAAAAAAGGCTGGAGGGACTTTTCACAACAGCATAGTAGTGACAGGACAAGAGGGAATGGCCTTAAGATGCAGGACAGCAGGCCCTTCACTGTGAGGGTGGTAAGGAACTGGCACAGGTTGCCCAGGGTAGCTGTGGATGCCCCAGTCCTGGATGTGCTCAAGGCTGGCTGGATGGGGCTCTGAACAATCTGGTCCAGTGGAAGGTGTCCCTGCCCATGGCAGAGAGATTGGGACCAACTGATCTTTGAGGTTCCTTCCAACCAAAACCATTCTGTGGTTCTATATTTATTTGCATGATGTATGCGATTTCTAAAGTAAAAGCTCAGCCCAAGAGGCTTAACTTTGCCATGCAGCAATAAAAGTTCTTTTTTAAAAAAATGAGGAGAAAAAACCCTTACTTATATCTCTTGAAAAACTAGCTAAAAATCATGCATCTTTCTCCTCAAATGCTATTAATTCATAGCAAATAACTTACAGAATCACAAAATTATGAGAATTTTTAAAAATTTCCAAAAGTTACCTAGACCAGTCCTTTGCTCAGAGCAGGTCCCATTAGAGTGGATTGTTCAGAGATGTTTGCAGACTTAATATCTCTAAGGGTGGAAATTGTGCAACCTCTGGGGCTACATAACTGAGCCCATCATAACTTGATCATCCAGCATAAAGGCTGTTCCCATCTAGCTGAAATCTGCCATGTTCCAGTTTGCGTATGTTGGCTCTCATTACCGCAAACCTTAATGAAGCATTAATCAAGAGTTTAGCACTGTTGTCTCTCTACCCTCTCATTAGACAATTATAGGCTGCAAAAGGTCTCCCCTTAGCCTTTTCTTCCTGTGGCTAAACAAGCAGAGTTCTCTCAGCGCCCACCACTGCTGCTTCCCATTTGTCTATACAGCCTACCATCTCACCACAGAGGGCAATCAGGCTGCTCATGAAAAATGTGACACTGGTAAATCTGTGATGTCTGCTCATAATCAGCTTCTTGGTGCTGCGTGTGCCATGAAATGCTTCCAGAACAGTTTGCTTCACAATCTTACCAGGAGCAGCTGACTGGTGTGCCATTCCCAGGATCCTCCTTTTTCTCTGCCTCGTAGACAACAGGACACAGTCTTAAGCTGCACCAGCGGAGGTTTAGGTTGGACATTAGGAAGAATTTCTTCACAGAAAGGGTGACTAGACATTAGAACGGGCTACCCAGGGAGCTGATGGAGTCACTGTCCCTGGAGGTGTTTAAGAAAGACTGGGTGTGTTACTTAGTGCCATGATCTAGTTGGCACGGTGGTGTTCAGTCCTAGGTTGGACTTGATGACCTCAAAGGTCTTTCCCAATCCAATTGATTCTGTGATAGGTATAACATTTGTCTTTTTCTAGTTATCAGGAACCTCCCCAGATCATTGTGGCCTTTTGAAGAGAGATGGGCCTCAAAATGACACTGGATTCCTCTCTCAGGACCCTCAGGTATATCTTATCTGCCCCCATGGACGTCTATACAACCAATTGGTTTAAGTGCTCCCTAACACTACCTTTGGCTACCACAGATAATCCCTCATTTTTGTTCACTATGCAATGAGGCTTGAAGGTCTAAAAGAGCCAGAGGGAAAAGCCAGCTCATGAAAACTGATTTAAAAAGTCACTGAAAACTTCAGCCTTCCCATGTTCTTTGCTCCTTAGTCTCCTGTTCCCCTGAGCAGTGGGCCTACATTTTCTTCTGCTGCTAGTGTATTTAAAAACTATATTGTATTTTCCCTTTGCCCTCCTCACAAGTTTGAACACCAGCTGAGCTTCTTAACCCTATCTCTGTGAACTCAGACATTGTGCATATATCCTTCCTGGGTGGCCCTGATCCTACTTCGTCTCAAGCTTCTAAGGAACCTTGCATGTTTGTATTCATACCCTCTGTGTTCATCCATGCTGGCCTCCTACAAGGTCTCCTCTTCATTCTGCACATTGAATGGCCTCTCTGTGTGTTCCAAGGATGTTATGCTTGCAGGTCACAAAGCTTTCTTCAGCCCTGTTTCCTACTAGGGAAGTCCTTCATGGGTTCCCACCAAGAAGATTCCCTTAAGAAGTCAAAAATCTGATGTTCTAAAGTCCAAGGTTCTTTCAGGGTTTTAAGCTCCACAATCTCGTCATCCCTGAAGATAAATCTTCTCTCAAACTTCCCCATCTTCAACTAGTTTCCTCGTTTGTAAATGGTAAGCCTAACAGGGTATCTGTCAGCTCATTTATCATTTCCAAAAAGAAATAGCCTTCAAACTTTAGAAATCTCAGCCTTTTAAGTAACTT